AAGTGAATAAATGCAGGAATCCAAGAGCTGGGCACACAAGAGGTGTTTCAGAAGATGCTTTGTGGATGAGTCAGACACGTGTCACCCGAGCACCGATTTGAACTCTAATGTTTCCTTATTTTTGAAAACCACTTCCTTGTCTGTTTCTTCTTTCCTGCTGGGTACTCGCAGCAGCTCGCAGCACAATTAATTCTGAAAGAAGATCAGACATGTGAGCTCCTATTAGTTCTCAGTAGGACAAGTCCATCTCTCCACAGTGCTTGTAGAGGATAAGAAACAACACGAGGGACCTGAGTGTGGACATTTAGGATAACTTTGGGGAATGGAGGGCAAATTTAGCCGTTGGCTGTCTTGGGCTATTCCACCGACGGAGCCCTCTCTGCCAACCCCTTTCCTAGCTCAGCTTTGATCTGCTCTCAGGCCTGCCAACGCACCCCAGTTTCTCATCTGAGACCTCAATTATTTTATAAGACACACCATCCAGCTTTGATAGGGTACGTGGAAAATGGTAGAAAACGCAGGCTGGAGGGGAAAATGGAATGTACAAAAATGAACCTGCTTATTAGAGAAAACAACCCTGGTTGGTCTCTAATCGAGAGCCTGGTGATTTGTTTTTGTTTTATTTTTGATGGAGCCTGGTGATCTGTAATGTTAAGAATGATGGAGGCTGAAGGCAGAGTGCAGACTGCTCTCGCCACGCGTCATCTCTGCAGGACGGAGGGGAGGCCTCCCCCATCTGACGGGCTCTAAGGAGTGTGCTGTAGACTCTTCCTCATTTCCTTTCCTCTGTAGTGAAAGCTTCTGGGCTTGAACTCTTTGACACCATTCAGAAACACAAGAAACGGGCTTGATCGTGACCTTGATGCTAGCGTGAGTTTACCCTGCTTCCAAGCTGAAGTTCTTGAAAGTGCCGCTGAGTTGTGTGTCTCAGATGTACCCCCGCGGGCCTCCGGGAGTGGAGCTGGAGGTGAGCGCCCATCCCTCCTGCAGGGCCGGCTTCCAAGGGCAAGGGCTAGAAACAGGAACATGGAACTTGGAACTGTGAGAAAACCCAAGGCCGAGAGCTGCTTGGCTATAGAAAAGCTGCCCTTGCACTTCCAAGTGCTCTTGCTCCATCCAGGCTCTGCTCAGTGTCTTTCTGCCTCTCCTGTTCCAAAAGAAACCCAGTAAGGCTGTAATGTACTGTTGCAGCTCACATTTTCTTTCAGACTCTCTCATCCCTTACATGTGCCACGAAAACATCTGTGAGGCTACCAAGGGATGTTGTGTTCGAGTTGCAGATAAAGGATGGGAGGCCCAGTTAAATCTGAATTTCCCGTTTTTAGGTTTATGCTCCATGCAATATTTTTATTTGTGAAATCTATTGCCTAGTTTATTGCTTTTTTTTTTTTTCTAGTCATGCTTTTTCTTGTCACGTTGCTCATCCTGGCAGAGTACGAAGCCACAAGAAAAGAAGAGGAATTTTATGTCCTGTGTTCAACCTTGGGATAAACAGGTTCCTTCTTCTGTTGCCGAGATGCCAGAAATCGGCTTGAGAGTCCTTTCTGTGAGAGCCTCAACCCTTCAGGCTGAAGAATGTTCTCTTGGTTGTGTTTTCACAGACTTCGAATTTGACTGCAGAGGGACATGAGTTTGATAGCTGGGTTCTCCGGCAGAGTGAAATGAAAGGGCCCTGGCCAGCCACACAGTCAGGAGAGCAGCAATGGAGAAAGTGTTCTCATCCTCCTGGGCAGTGGGCTTTGGTGAGAGGCACTGGGCCTCCGCCCCATGGACAGGCAGCACAGCTCTATCACGACAGCTGATTCCATGACCCCATTCCAGACAGATTAAGTGCGGGTACGGTCCCAAGTGGATCCTGATGAATAGGAACAGAATGGGAGAGTGAGGAAAACAAGCTGGGAGAGGACCTTAGGACTAACAAGATTGAAAGCTAAATTTAATGAGCATTTACCGTGTGCTAGGCATTAGTTTACAGGAACTTTATCCTCACAAGAATGCCATGAGATAGGGATTAGTGTCATTGTCTCAGTAGGATGAGGAAACGGGAGGCAGGCAAGATTAAGTCATTCACTTACTTAAATGAAGTAGCTAGTTTGTGAAGGGTACAAACTTGTTCCAGAACCCACTAAACTAAACCTCCTCTGTTTGGGGCCCAAGCAGTCTGTGAGAGTGGGGCTTGCGGAGAGGACGTCATTGCTGAGCTGTTGAGATAAGCCAACCCTTTCCCCCTGCAGGCTCCTGGAGACCCGAGGAACCTGGGTGCACCTCTGGCTGCCGGCCACTGCGCTCCCCCTTGGCAGGGCTGAGAGCCCAGGCTGGGGAGCCAGGCCATGTTGATGAAATGATCAGGGGAAGCAAATGGGTTGTGAATAAATTATGAAACTGAAAAAAAAATTACATAAGGATTGTTTTTAAGAAAGAGCAAATGAAAAGTGTCAGGTCACAGTTTAATCCAACTAAATGAAGCTCATCTTTTCCTCTTCCTTTTTTTCCCCCCAAGGCCTTCATTGCTCTCCTGCTACAACATGTTCCAAATGTTGTCCTGAGCTCCGAGTTCTCAAGACACTAATGTACGATCACCATTAGGTAGTCTTAGCCCTTTAGTCTTTAGCAGGGACTCAGTATCCCACGATCCCTGAAATCATCCCAACTGAAATGGCCACTGAAATCAGAAGGAAAATAAGTTGGGGGGGGGTTCAAATAAAATAACTCTACGTTACTCAGAAACCCCTAGGAATATATGTTGAAACTGTATTATTACAGAGAGGATAAAGGACTCTGCTGGAAACAGACGGGATCTGATTTCCTCTGATACCCGAGCTAAAAACAGAGAAAATTATTGAAGGTGGTAACACTCGGGTTAAATAGTTCAGAGTTTCAGAGAGCTCAGTTTGGAAGGACACCTCTAAGTAATAAACCATAGATCTTACTGTAGTCATCAACATAAAAAAAAAAAAAACTAGCTATGTCCAAGTCCTGCTTGCCTAGAAAAGGATTCTTTTCTTCTCCAGATCCCTCAAGTGAGTTTTAAACGTGCAAATGATAACTATAATTTATGCAGAAATTAGAAACTGTTAATGACTTAATCTTTCTAAAATCCTTACGAAGTTCTGCAGTATTATTATCTTTATACAGATCGGCAAACAGAGGCCCACAAAGGAGGGGAGGTACCACCCATGGTCCTTGGCAGCCAGCTGTGTAATGAAATGAGATCTCAGATCTGGTCTCTGTACAAAACACCAGATTATTATTGAGATTCGAGAAATCTGGAAGCTTGGAGCCAAAAAACCTTTACGGATGACAGCTAGACCTAGTTATTTCTCCTTTGCAGTGATTTCTTTAAAAGGAAACAATCCAATGTGGAATTTAAAACTTTCCCTTTATATGGCTTGTTTTCTAGCAATTATAATCTGGGCAGGAATAGCAAGGTGGAAAAAGCTGGGTTCTGAACACCCTGATCATCATCCAGATTCCCTTGAAAAGGGTGACAGAGGTCACCTTTCCAACAGGCAAGTGCAGGGTTTCCTTTTAGGAAACATTTCTCCTTCATCCCTTCCCATCTCCTCATCATCTCCATCCCCACCTCATACAACATGGCCCACAGTTACATCACTGCACCTGTAAATGTTTGTGTCCTTATTGTTCTTTTTGAAAAGTGCATGCTTGTGTTTTAAAGACAAGTGAAGGATGTGTGTATTAAGGAGGATAGATCTTGTAACTGGAACTGTGGCCAGCAAAGCCCTCCTGTGTGGGTTCAGTGGATCCTTAGACAGCAAAACTCAGCACAGACAACACCCACTCCACACCACCATCACAAGATTTCTGTCGGCACCCCGAAGTTCAGACAGCACTTGTTTCCTCCGCTCTTGTCTCATTTTCTTCCTGAATCGCGGCTGCCTCACTTCAATAGATGATTAAAATCTTTCTTACTTTCTCAATACTCCGTGGGGAAATTCCACTTTGAAATTCTCTTTGCCCTGTCATGTTTACAGTTGGGAGGACAGGGATGAGCTAGGAAACAAGATTTTCTCTCTCCACCTCTCGCATTTTTAAAATGACGTAGGGAGTTTGGACATCCTCCCTACCCCCACCTCCCCCTCTTTGATCCTAACCCTGATTCCTGGAGAATCGTACTTTTCCTTTTAACGCTTGCTGATTACCGCACGGGGTGGGAGCAAGAGGGGGGCTGCCCAAGGAAGCTCCCCGGAGCCCATTCTAATCTCCGCGGAGCCCCAGCTGCCCCGCGTGCCGGGAGACGCCGCGGTCCCGGGGAGGCCGGTCACAAAGCCCGGCTGGGCTGGGGCGCGAGGGCATCAGACGCTGGCGGCCCCGCGGCCCGCGGTGAGCGCAGCGCGGCGGGGGCGGCTCTGCTCCGCGGGCCGGAGTTCGCTGGGGGACAACTTACTGTGCTCGCTGTGCGTCCACACCGCAAACTCCCAAGAGGGAGGGGGAGAAGCAGTCCAGGCTGCGTAGTGTCCGAGAGTGGAGGCAACAAAAGAGGAGAGGGAAGAGGGAGGACAGGAGGGCGGGAGGGCGGGAGACGCGGGCGCTGACCCCTCTCGCGCCCCAGAGCGCCCCTCGGACGCTGACCGGCAGATCCTCCGGGAGTGCCGGCCCTTCCTTTGAGCGCCCTCCGGCCCGCTGCTCAGACAGGTAGTTGGAGGGCAAACAACAAAGCTCCCGGCCAAGGCCGGCGGCGGTCCCGGGGCGCCCCGGGGGCGGGGTAGGCCGAGGCCGAGGTGCGGCGCGCCCCGCCGGCTTCCCCGCCCCCCGCCACACTCCGCCCCCCCGCCCCCCGCGCCTCCTAGTCCTCGGGGACGCCGTTCCCCCGAAGGCACCGGCGGCGGGCTGCGGAGGAAGTGAAGGGGGGGAGCGCGGGAGGCCGGCGCGGAGTGGGGTGGGGGGAAGCAGCGCCGGGGAGGAGACGGGGGGCGGGGCGGGGGGCGGGTGCGCCCCCGAGCAGCAGAGTCGGGCCGGGTACCGACTGCCATCCTGCCGCAATTTCCCTGTGTCATGGCTCCGGTCTCTTAGCAACAGCCGCGAGTCCGGCCGCCCCGAGCCGCGCCAGCCGCTGCCGCCGCCGCCGCCACCGCGGGCTCAACTCCACCCGGCGGAGCCCGGCGCGCCGCAGCCGCACAAAAGAGGCGCTGGGGCCGGCCCGGGAGCGCCGCGGCGGGGCTCGCGGGGAGGCGCAGGAGGAGCGGCGGCGGGGAGGACGGCTCCGAGGCAGGATGCGGGCAGCGGAGGACCTGACACTTCTTGGAAACTCTTGGAAATGGCTCCCGCCACAGCCGCGGAGGGGGCTGCGAACCTGGGGCGGGCGCTCGCCCCCGCTGGGCTGCTGAGCCGCGCTCTCCTGGTGGGCCCCGAGGCGCTGTCCCTGCGCCCCGCCGTCGGCTCGGGCTGAAAAAGTTTCTCCATGGTTCCTTTGTGTCGCCCGAGCGCCCGTTCGCCGCCCCGGAGCTGCCCCAGCCTTCCCGGGTAAGTGAGCGATATTGTTTGCTTATAGTGCTGCCATTTTGAGCAATTCTGTGAGTCCTCGGCCCCCGAGCTGCCCCTCCGCACCCCTGCGGCCCCGAGCCCTGGTCCCCCGGGCTGCTGCTGCTCCGGCAGAGTCGTTTTCCTGGGCGGGCTGCATGGGATGCGCAGCCCAGGAAAAGCGAGCTCAGGATTGCCCTCACTTCGCTCCTGCCTGTGTTCTTTCCAGAGGCGGACTCCCAGCTGCTGCACTCATGTGACTCCAACATAAATAAGCAGACCAAATAGCAGGGCAAGGGGTTCGCTGTCCTGCCCATTAGGGAGTGGGGGGTCGAGGACCTGCACTGAGTCCCGGGCAGGGCAGGGCGCTCCCATCCTGTGGGCTGGGAGCCTCAGACGCCGAGTGGGGCTTAATCCATCATGAGCCGAGAACTTGAATGTCTCTCTTGGAAGCAGTTGTATTTTTAGACATCCCTCCTTTGCTTCCCCCATCCTCCATTCCTTAACCACAGAAAGACCGGCACCAGGCAGTAAATTGCGAGGGCAGCCAACCTCGACTGCCAAGTTTGTTTCCCTTCATTATGTATAAACAAAAGCCTCAAAGGTGGGTCTTCCTTGCCATCTGACTTTTGTCAGTATTTCAGGTCAGATGACAATACATTATAAAGGAGTTCAGCCTTAAAGGGAGCTGAAGGAATAATAAACTAGGGAGTTAATTACTAGCTATTAAACTAATTTTAAGATCTGTAAACGATTGTTGAAATCCACTCCAGTTTTCCTTACGTGCTGTCTACCCAGAGCCAAGGCTGTCTTACTGAGGAGACAAACATGTGGGTGCCTTCTTTCCCAAAGATGCTGAGCACCCTGGTGTACCTTATCAGTGCCCAAGAAAATGTTAGCCCTTCTCTCTTCTGGGAGAGCTACCCTGCCAACTGAGTCTAGGTTTCTTTCTAAAATGTCTGGCTCCTGAATCCTAAAATGACTGCAGATCTCCAGATTATTGCATTAAAGATACTACAGTCTAGGGATCACTTAAAACAGCAGTCTCTGTGTTACAACTACACAATAAATGTGCTTATTTTGGGGGATGACAGATGAACAGTAGCTACTTTTTTTTTTTTTTTACAATCTGTTTGTACTTACTGGTGCAGCCTCTTCTTGAAACAAAATTTTAAAGGCTTATAGATGTATTCTCTCTACTAACCCCTCTCTAACCTACCTCGTATTTCTCTTTATTGAAAACCAACTAAGTTCCAAGGAGACATTGATTCACAAACATTGTAAAGAGCTGATTACTGTCTGCTTTGCCACCAGTGGAGAAAAGATTCTGCCTATATTGATATAATGGAGGGGATCAAGGGCCAAAGCTCTTTACCCAGGCACCAATTAAAAGCAAAATTCTTCCTAAGTAATCCCACATTTTCAAAGGGTAATTTATTCTAAAACATGAATTATTTCATAAAGGATAAAATACCAAAAGGCTTGTGAGTGATATCTGAGCCTTTCAAATTCATACAATGCCCTTAATTTTAGCATCTCTATTATAGGAGGGAACACAACCAATGGAACAGAAAATGTTTTACTCTGGGGATCCAGCAGGATTGAAATTTTTAGAAGCTCACAGATATTAACAAAGACACATCTGTGCATTTACCTACAGGGCTTTATTATAAACAACTAAACTTCCTATAGGATAGTGCATTGATTGTTGCCACCCTCCCTTTCTAAAAATGACCTCATGAGAGAAAGATGAAGAAAACAAGCTCTCACTTGGGGGAGATGTCATTCTACAAATCATCATTATTATGTAGACTGCTATACCTAGTTAATTGCCTTCTCATTTGAATATTAGGATTCTGAAGAGTGCTTTTGGCACATTAATAAGGGGTCAGAAAGCTATTATGGTAGAGTGGCTTTTTTTCCCCCCTTTTCTTTTCTTTTAAGATTGTAATTTTCCCACAGAAGAGGGGGAAAAAAAAAGATCTTTCTCTTAGAGATTCTAGGGGACTTCTCAAAGTCCCTGATGAGATTTAGCACATGATACCTTTAAGGGAGTTCCTCTGAGGGAAGAGAGGAGGCCAGAAGGAAGAGCTCAGTTACATAACCAGTTACCTAAAACTAAATATTCCACCCCAAGAAGCTGTCCAGATGTTGCAAAAAAGAGATGAGGGGAAATGCTGCTTGCCTTTAGCTGTAGGAACAGGAATAGGTGGGAGACAACTTTGTGAAGGGATTTATTGCCAGAAGACTGATGTAGTTCTGGTGTTCTCCCTGAAATGAACTCTCTATTAATTATCTGCAGTAAATAAGCCGTCTGCCTGCCAGTATGTGACCTTTAATTTTCATCCAGTGATGAAAATTGCTTTTGTCATTATAAAACAGTAACTTTTGTGACTGTTTTAGTGACTTTGGGCTAAACATTGAGAAATTCCTCTGCTTAGAGACTTGAACCTCCTGTACAGCTCCCTTGGGCAATCTTCTGATTCCCATAGGAATAGGACAAAGGGAAAAAGGCTTTTGCCAGGAAAGTCCTCAACCACCACTTTTGAGTCCCCACCTTTGGTTTCTACTAATGGTCAGCACTCCTTCGGCTGCCAGCTGGGAGGGTTTGAAATCAGCAATACTGGAATATCTCCTACAGAATGTGTGTGGGAAGGTGGGAGAAGGAGTTCTCTCAAATTGTTTTATGACCTCCTATCAAAGACTGCAACAGCGTTTCTGGGCCCTGATCCATCCACCCCACCCCCCTGGTCCCTGCGTCCAGCACCTCACTTAGTTGGTAGCCCTGGGGTGACACACATGTGGTGGGACCTGGGAGCGGGACGTTTGCAGAGCGTGGGATGTTGCTGCAGCCAAGCCTATACCCCCTGACTGTCTTCCTCTGCTTTGCAGCAGGAGGAGGTGGCGGAGCAGCTAGTGGACAGCTGGCGCCCCCACTACACAAGCCTCTGCCACAGAGACTAGCCCCTCAGGGCTCTGGCTCACCATGATAGCCACCGGTGGCCTCCTGAGGATTTCCGCCAGAAAGCAGGATCCCCTCCGCCCCCCAACCCAGGTCCCCAAGCGCAAGCGGAAAGCCAAGAAAAGGCGCAAGAACGACGTGGTGGTGGTGAAAGGCAAGCTAAAGCTGTGCTCCATCTCGGGGCTCATTGCCCTCTGCGGGATCCTGGTGCTGCTGGTGGGCATAGCCATGGCGGTTGTGGGCTACTGGCCCAAGGCCAACGGGACCAACAGGGAAGGGGGTAAGCAGCCGCCGCCCGCGGGCAGCGGCCACCGCGCCCCGACCACGGCCAATAGCAGCGGCAGTGGCAGCAAAAACCGGTCCAGGAGCCACCTGGGGACTCCGGGGGGTGTCAACTCGAGTTTGGTGGGCGCGCCCCGGGGCACACCTCCCGCGCGGTCCGCCGGCCCTTCGTCCTCTTCCACGTCTGTGGGTTTCTTCTTCCGCATCTTCTCCGGGTACCTGCACTCTGACAAACTCAAGGTCTTCGGGCCCCTCATCATGGGCATCGGCATCTTCCTCTTCATATGCGCCAACGCGGTGCTCCACGAGAACCGAGACAAGAAGACCAAGATCATCAACCTGCGGGACCTCTACTCCACCGTCATCGACGTGCATAGTCTCCGCGCCAAAGACCTGGCGGCCGCCGCCGCTGCTGCCGCCGCCGCCACCTCCTCCTCGTCCTCCGCCCCCGCTTCGGCGCCCCCCGGGGCCCCGCCGCTCAACGGCTTCCTCAGCTACGTGCAGTCGCGGGGCCTGGAGCTGAAGCCCGGGAGCTGCGGCAGCAGCGCGGGGGACGCCTTCGGGGCGGCGGCGATGCTGGCCAGGGGCTCGTGGCCCCATCCCGCCGCGCTGGGCGGGGGCGGCGGCGGGGCCAAGGGCGCCGCGTCCCCGCCGGACCTGGCCTCGTCCCCGCGCTGCCCGCGGGAGCCCCCGAGCCTGGCGGAGGCCGTGTACAGCATCTACCGCGAGCGCTCGGGCGTGGCCAGCCGTCGCCGGGCCGCCGCCGCTGCCGCCGCCGCGGTGGCCGCTGCTGCCGCCGCCACCGCGGCCGCCAGCAGCAGCGGCAGCCCGGCGCCCTGCAGCCCACCCGAGAGCTGGGGGCGCCAGAGCACCGCCAGCTCCCTCGTGGGCTCCTCGCTGAGCGCCTTCGCGCTGCTACCCTTGCAAGGGGACCGCAACGGGGACGGGGATGGCGCCGGGGATGGGGACGGGGACGCGGAGGGCTCGAGCTGCAGCTGGCAGAGGCCGCCTGGGGAACGTGGCTCCCGGGAGATCCCGCGGGGCGAGCTTGACCTGAGCTTGACCGACCTCCGTGGTGCCCCGGGCGGCTCGCGCTGGGCGCCCAGAGAGCTGGAGGAGCCGGAGGGCGCGGCGGCGGCGCGCACCGCCAGGGGGCAGGGTGGCCGCCTGCCCAGGACCGGCAGGTACGCGGCCCTGCGGCGCCGCAGCACCAGCGGGCTCCCGGACTACCGGGCGCCACCGTCCCCCGAGCCCCCGCCCTCCCCGGGCAGCGCGGAGCTGGACTCGAGCCTTCTGGCCAAAGCTGCCTCCCCCTCCCCGTCCCTGCGGCTGGAGGACTCGCCCCCTGCCAGGCCGGACTCGCCGACCTCCCAGTCGGATGACCCATCCTGCTGCAATAAGGGCTACACCCCGCTGCGGGAGGCTGGCACCTCTTTGGTTGTGGAAGCAGTAGCCAGTAAAAGTCCAGACTGTGAGGGCCCCACGACCCCGGGGGCGCAGCAGAGGCCCCCCGAGGATCCCAGCCAAGGGGCACCCGCGGGCCAGTCACCTCAGCCGGTGCAGAGGCAGTTTACAAACAAGGAGAAACTCTTCATGATTTCCCGGTCTCACGCCATAGGGGTAGAGGATGGAGAACTGGAAAGTACTGGCATTTAGGAAAAGATGGAGGGGGGGTGGGAGTGGTGGGCAAAGGAATCAGAGGATTGGGGAAATGCCCACTTGAATCCGTGAATTTAACATTTCCCTGTTTCCTTGTGGACTTACCTGAGGAAATCATCCAATACCCAAAGAGCTGCAGAATGTTATCCCTGAAATGCGTTCACAAGATTCCTGTAGATAACTCCAAGCAATTTTTTTTAAAAAGCAAACTAGTCTTTTATGTCCGATGGTGATTGTATGTTCCATGAAAACCAAATGTATTAAAAGGTCAGCAATCTAGTAATTAGATGAAATTCTCTTAATTTTCTTAGGATCAAAATAATATATTTTTTTGACAGTAACTGTGCACTTTACTCCAACTTTTTCCTCCCCCTCATTTTCCTAACCCTGTCCTGTGCCTCTGGTTTTGTCCATAGCTGCTTGTGAATGACAAGCTTTCCTTCTCTTGTGCTTTTGTGGAGCATGGAAGGGTTTGTCGAAGTTCTTTGAGAACTGACCTTACTAAATGAAGTCAAAGCCAGAAGCAAGAGTCTGTCAGGAAAGAGCACTTTTCCTTGTCCCGCCCTATTCTGCTCCAATAGCTCAAAGGCCTCTTTATTTTTTAAAAGGGTATTTACATTTTGCTACTAGGGTATCTAAAGGAGGAGGGGATGGGCATCATCTAGATGGATTGTTACATTCCTAAATTCACTATATCAAGTATACAATATTGAGTATTATCACACCTGTGTTGCAAATAGCATTATTAAAAACCTTTTTTTAATAAAAGAAGTTTCCAAACAAACAGTTAAACATAATATCGCTTCATTTTGCCTTGGAACTAATGCTTCTAATACACATTAAACATTTAACAGTTCAGCTGGTAAATCTAAAATATTATGCTATGACACTGTACTATGATTGTAGCTATCCTCCCCCAACGTGCTCAGTGCTATCATGACTCTATCCATTTACAGTATATTTTTAACTTTTAAACATAGGGTAGTATTGAACATTTGGGAGTTTCTCTTTCAAATAGAATGAAACATTAAATAAATAGTAATTTTCTATAATACTTCTAAGTTTACCTCAAAGTATTAATTTACAGAGCACCAGGCTTAATGGCCCTTTTCATCCTCTTGGATTTGACTTACTTGGTTTTGATTTTAAGTTCATGATCTTGAATCCATGGCCTACATAGGCTAAAAAGGTAATGTTTTAATAATTTGGTAGATTGGTTACACTTGGTTTTACTGAAAGTCAATTAGTTACTCTTCAAGAACAGTAAACAAGGTACCTTTCTGATGCCCTCTTCCTTTGAATGTGAGGGCTAAGAACCTCGAGGGTGCTGTTACTTTCTTTTGACCATTTGGGCATGAGGCTATCATTGTAGGATGCTCAAATACTGATTTTAAAGGAAAACCAGCCAAAGATGTGGTCATGTCAGTCCCCATGGATGAAGCAGTGGGTTCAGTGGGAAGAGTGCAGATTCAGGGGTGAAGCTAGACCCCCCAGCTCTCAGTATTTGCTAGCTGTGTAACTTAGAACAGTCACAAATGCTATCTCAGTCATTTGATCTATAAAATGGGGACAACTAGACAGACCTCATAGAGATATGAGCAGGTGGGCAAGGGATTCTATGTACAAAGGGGAGCAGAGTACCTGGCTCAGTGAACTCAGTAATTGGTTATTGTAATTATTATTATCATTATAATAAGTTGTCTGCATGCAGGCTGTGGAATAACCCTTCCTTCAACTTGATCTCAAGAAAGCCTGGCTAAAACCTGGAATATCCACTTACTATCTACATGACCTTAGGCAAATCACATAATCCCTCTGGGCCTCTGGTGGATAATATAATCTCCCTGATTGCCTTCAGCTCTAGAAGCTTTACTTCATTTCGGGGTATTTGTTTTGTCCTGGATATAATCATATTTGTACATACAACTGCAAAGTGAGTATATTTTGTAATCTACCATTTAGTGTGACATGCTGTAATCAGTTTAAAAGGACCTAATTTATTTCCACATTGGATCTGCATTAAGCTATTAACTCACTTGAAAGCTGTGGATTAATTTATTTCGTTCTTCTATAGAGCAAAAGTGAGTTTCCGCTAGTAAGAGGGACAAGCAAGTGTAATGATACCTCCAGGTAGTGTTAAATTTCATTGGTCTCTGTTGTTTTATCATACTTCCCCCAAATTTCTGATTTCCCTAGTTTCTCTTCTCCATTATCTTGCATAGCAGGCCAGGATTCATACAGGGTTTTGAGGATTATCTAGACCTGTTGGCAGATGCAGAACCGAAATTGGCATTTCTGGAGACCATCAGAATCTTTCCTACCTTCTTAGCTTCCTGCTAGATCCTTTCCCAAAAACTGTTCTTAGAGACTTGCAGAGAAGTGTTAGGTGCACAGCTAGTTTAAAAGCTGGAATCTGTGTCTAAGTCTTCCGGCTGGCATAAACAATGTTTTTCCTCCATGCAACTTGACAGGGTTTGTGGTATCCAAATCAATAGGATTATTTGAAGCGATCTTAGAGATCATGGAATCCCTCCCCTCTATAAACGAGATTGCTAAGAATCAGAAAGATGGGACAATTTGTTCAAAGACAAATAGCAGTGGCAGGACTAGAAAGCTAAAATAATTGCAACAGTTGGCATATGCATCCCCCTCCCCGCCACTGCCCCATATTCCTACCCTGTACTAACCAGCTGGGGGGCAATGGGCAAGCTACTTAGCCTCTCTTTGTCTCAATTTCCTTTTCCATACAATGGGAATACTAATGCTCCCTACCACTCAGGACCTGACCAAAGATTCAATGAATTCCTATCTGTGTAGAGCATTTATAACAGGCTTGGCACGTGGAGACCGTCATAAAAAGTTTTACTTAAAATAGAAATAAGCTGTTAAAACCATTTCGTATGACCTTCCTTTTTATGAACGGAATAATTTCAGGTTTAAAAATCGAAAGTATAAGGCAACACAGCAGAGGGGTTCCAAGCATGACTCGGAGAGGCAAAGAACGTTTTACCTGGGTTTCCGCATCTGTTAGAAGGAGATAATCGAGAGCCTCTGACTCATGGAATTAATTATTTAAATGAGAGCTAAATAAACTAATAGACTCAAAGAACTTAGAACCACTCCTGGCACAAATAAACCTTCAGTCAGTGTTAACTGCTATTATTAAGGCAAAACACAGAAAATTAATTAGGAGGCTAAATTTACTACTCAGTTGCTAGGGACAACCATAAATTTACTGTACTGAGAAGTCTTTAGAGTTTGAGTTTTAGGAAGAAAAAAAATAGACTTTAAGAAATGAGAATCTAGGCCCCTACAATGTCCTCAGTAGAGGTACTGAGAGCTAGATATGGGCCCTCAGGGTCCCATCGTCATGACATTATGTAATTACGAATGCGGCCGCAAACTGCTTCCATGGCTGTATTTGGTCATGGCTGTTCCTTTTCCATGACAGAGGCCAGGCTAGGGCGAGGTCGAGGCTCCTTTCTGTCAGAGGAGTTGCCTGAGAGGAAGGCTCTGGGAAAATAGTCAGGGGCAAGTGCCTGTTGATCCATTTACATTTCTAGACAAAAGTTTTTGTTGTTGTTATTTTGTTTTTGTTTTTTTCCTATACTGGATTTCTCTTTAGTCATTTGAGTTCTTTTTAAAGATGGAGTTTTGAAAGTTTCCTCTCTGAATTAGAGAACTTAAAAAAAAAAAAAACCTCCAACAACATAAAATTAGAACAAATTAAATCTATGAATTCGTATTCTGTCAGAATAGCATTTTTGTCAAGAGACGAAATACCATTTTGCCAAGAGACAAAAATACATTTTATAGTTAAATAAAGAATAGGATGGATATTTGTGGAGCTTGTTTTCTATAGACCCAGACTATTTATTTTTTATTTTTTGGCTAAAAATCATTGGGTGAATATTTAGACTAAGTTTTTGAATGACTAACTCTGAAAAGCATTTGGAGACTTTTTTTTTTTTTTTTTGTTCCTCGGGAAGTCATCTTTGAGGTTTTTTTTTCTTCAAACAAGAGTGAGTGTCTTTAAATGGAGGTGCAAATTATATGTGTTTTATAAAGTCACTACAAATTGGGGGGAGGGGTGTTCCATGTGCATTAACAACTTTAGTCAAACACTTCCTGCCACTCTCCAAAACCGGATGAGCTCCTTATTGTGTGTGACATCTATTTCTTTATGAGGTCAGGAAAGCACTGGGCTGGTGGTGGGCCTATATATGGGCCTGAGCCACAGTAAGAGTTATAAATGCCTGTCAGCCTGGGAATTTCACCTTCACCCTTGAGCTGGGGTTGCTGCCATCTGAAAATTAATTAATTAATTTGTTTATTTATTTATTTATTCAACTTTCAACTGACTCCCAACCCTCACCCCGTCCATAATGCTAGCCTGTGATATTGCCCTGTATGATAAATAGGATGGTTGGCTGATTTGTTGTAAAACACCCTGCTCATGATGTTGCCAGTCAAAACACTAAAAAAAAAAAAAAAAAAAAAAAAAAGCTTATGCAGATTCACCTGGAATATCATGAAGCACGAGCGTGTCTCAATGAACCTGTGTGGCTTGACCTTTGCTTCAGACTCCACACTGCCTCCAAGCCCCACTAAGGGCAAGAGGGTTGGCTATCAGTCACAAGGGAGAAAAATGGGGAGCAGAGCCAGAGTTGGAAGAAAAAGAGAATCCTGCAAAAAAAAAAAAAAAGAAGAAGAAGAAAAAAAAGATAAAGTTAGATTAAAGTCACAAGGAAAGATTTTTGTTTCACAAAGGAGCCTGTGGTCATTTGGTTTGGAGATCATTTGTTTATTAGAGAAATGTCTTAAAGTGAAACATGTCAGTAACTTTATTCCTTAGAAGATATTCTTTCAGCACATGCATGGTTGGACATTAATTTGTGTATTTTTTAATATTTAAGAAATTCAACGTAACACTGTCTTGACACAAATCCACTTGATTCTAAGAATTGCTAAACATCTAATTACATTCAATAATGGAAAGGAAACTCATG